CATTGCCAGATTCACAATTATCTGTTTTGGATAAAACCGAGCTCATTTTTAGTGCCACTCACTGGACATTTCACTTCGAAAGTATCATGAAATACATGCAAGAAGCAACATTTATTTTGCAGAAATGTCACCACATGCACGTTTTTCTAATGATCTTGGGTTTATAAAGGTAGTGAGGAGTTGTTTTGTTCCCTCACATAGTATTAATTAAGGTTTAGAGTAATTTTTTATCTGAGCACTGAAATCCCATCCTACTTTAGTATTGTAATTGTTGCATACAATTTGATGAGGTTTTAAACAGATAATTAAACTGTCACTCACCTTCAACTGTAATCTTTTTATGTGCGTTTTCATCTCATAAAATAAAATGAGATTTATGGGGAAACATGCTCAAACATTAGAGGAACCTCTATGATGAGATTAAAAGTGCTGTTTGCCCACATAAAACCAACTTGATATTGACTTGATTTGACATTTCTCCTAGTATTTGCCAAAGTCTGTTGTGTGGTTTATCACCGTCTCACATGAAGAAGGCTCCAAACTCAAGAGTCTGTTATTCTGGTAAACCAGGAGCGTTTTTACCAACACTCAACTGTAACTTTTTGCTGTAGCAAGTGATTCTCCTCTCAAGCCAGAATTAGAAATGCGAGGGTCCAAGTGCATCTGAAAGTCCTTGATGTGCGGGTGTTGCTGTGCCGGAGCACATGTTGGTATATTGCTCTCACTGCATTGTTCACACATGACAGCATCTCGTCTCAAGTGGCGGAATGAATGAATTGATCTGTGCGGCGTGTACGGGAGAGATTGAATCTAGATCATAAATGGAAAGTTTAGCGGAGCGTTGTTTTTATACAAAGGACAAGAATCAGAAATAAAAGGTGAAATGTGGATTACTGATTGTAATACTTAAAATATGATTGGATGAGACACATGTGAAGATGTTTTAAAAAAAAAAGTAAATGCAGGGTTTTTGTTTTCCATTATATAATCTCTCTCTTTTGCTCATTAATTTTTATACAAAGCTTAGCATAAGCATGGAAACTTTTCATTTTATGATTTGTGAATGCCAGATAATAATAATAAAATGCTTGCAGATTTATCTCTCTTTCTTGATGGATTTGAAATGTGTTTATAGCTCATTAGGTGTCTTTATGTGTCCAATAGCAGAGGTGGGACTGAAGCAGAGAACAATAGGACGGTGTGTTTAATGATATGCTTGGTGTTTTTCAGTTCATGGTGTGAAGACACAGAACTGCTGCTGTATATATTTAAACCAAACCTCTTCATTATATCAAAGCTATATGTGTGTCATTGATTTTTTTTTTTGCCCACATTGATACTGTAATTTACATATCTCACCTTATTTGAGCTTGTGTACAAGATGCAAATGAAACAACACCTACAGTTTTTCTTTTCCTTCCTGTTTTTAACCACATGTCAGAGATACGTTCAGCCATACAAGGTTTATTCCAGCCGTTTGAACTGCTGGATCCATCCTGCAGCTCGAGTTTAAAAGGCTGTGGAAAAATGCATGCATTGTGGAATTCCCAGGGATTTGATTCTGTGTCACATACAATTTTTTCTTGTTTTCCATCATCGGTGGCCTTTGTTTTCCAGTGCAGTGCAGAAATGAAATTATCATGACTTTCAGTATCTGCGAAGCATGAGTTTCAGGTTCAACATTTATAGCCTGTACCAACTGTATAGATTATTAAATGTAGATGTTTGTTTTTATAATAATTACAATAATTTTATTTTAAAGCTCCTTTCCCAATTTTATTTCTATTGAGAATGAATGCATTTTTTAAAAGTTGTAATCAAAGGAAATTATTATAATTCTTTCTTTTTTTGACACGATGTCGTAGTGTTTCTAATTTGAACTTCTGTAGTAAAATCAATATTGGAGTCCATTCCTTAGATGTTTGGGTAAAATGTATGCATGTCGTATTTGTGCATATAGATTAAACTATAAATTGAAAAACTGTGCTCTTATGCTGTGTTCAGCTCAAGAGAACAATAGAAAAGTCTCTGATAAATCATTGATTTTTCTAGTTTATTGCATCCACTTTAAACCTGCCATCAATTCTCTTCTCTCCTTACTTTAAACTAAGAGAAAGACAGAGTCTTCACCAGCTATTGTGTATGCATTTAAATGAAGATCATGAATAATGCGCATTTGAATTTGCATAATCGGGATGGGTGATTATAGATAAACAGTTTAGCTTGATGTCTTTTATCCTTTTGACAGTATTAAATATATATACCTCATATTTGTGTATGTGCATGGTCTGAAACCATTATTAAAACAAAATGCACACTGTTGCCAATAGATTCAAGATGTGTCTGAATGAAACTTTGGTCATAGTACAGTTTTTTTTTATTAATTATAAAGGTCAGTCATTGTGTGGAAGAGCCTTTGAAGTACTAATGCATGATCTAATCAGGTTAGCATCAGATTTGCTCATTCCTAAATATTGTTGAAGAATATATAGACATGTTATATACATCTAATATCTTATTTTAGAATAAGTCTCTGCTTCAGTCATTGGCAACTCATTGATTGATTGACTAATTGACATGTCTTTTTCACAGAAAGTTGATTGGCATTCACCAAACATGTTCATTCACACCGTTTCAGCGTTGCTCTTTTGTGCTGCTGTCATACATCATGGCTGGATTGATCTGTAAAGCAACTGCTTATCTCACCTCTCTAGACAACATGTGACCTCTCGTCTTTTGTGCTGAGTTTAAAGGCAGAATCATACAGAATGAATCATGTGACAGTAGAGATGCTGACCAGACGCTTAATTCCAATGCTATATCTGAAACTATTTCCAGCTTGCGGTAGGTTTTGATGAAAGGCTGCCAAACATAACTTAATAATAAGATTAATTAAATATGTGTAACACCTTCAGAATGATGTAGCACATTTATCTAGTTTAACATAAAAGCTGTTTGAGTTGCATTGTGTGTGATTTTAATGATGAGGTGGAGAAGTACACTTCAGCTCATGATAGAGATTTCATTTATTTATAAATCAAATCCAGATGGTAATCTACAGTCTTTGCATGGTGACCGTGAGCTTTGACTCTCTACTAGTGTTAAACTTTATGAACGAGTGAAACACAACCGATCTTATTGCTTTTTGATACATATGAGCTTTCAGGTGTAAAGTGTAATGAAATATGATTCAAAATATGAGATCAGGAGATTAATCGTCACTAAGTTTTTAATTAGGGCTGTCAATTGAATAATTTTAATTGGATTAATTATATGATGTGCTGACTAATTAATCATGTTAATTACAGTTTATGGCATACATCAATATTTGCACAGAAAAGCAGCCAAAAAGTGTCTTTTAGAAGACAATATTGTCTTTTATTTCTGTATAATTGATGCTAATTGATAGTTGATCTACAATCCATAGCAATCCATTTTGCAGCCCAGACTCATTGGAATACTTAAACATCTCTTAAACATATTTTATCAAATTATGCTGGCTTAAGTTCTGTTAGGAAGATATATTAAACCACAAACTATTTTGAAGAAACTTGTCCCTAAATTAATTTTAGAGTTTTTATCTAAAGCAAAACTTTAAAACCCTGTATAGGATTTTAAATTGCTAATCAACTATCTCAACTTGTTACGGTAACGCGGCTGACAAGACGTGAGACGTGCGGATCCATAAGCAAGCTTTATTTAAAGCAGAGGAGGTCAGAAACACAGGCAGGGTCGAAACAGTGGCAAACAGGTATATAAGAGTAAGCATAAGAGTGAGTGTTAAATAGTGAGTGAGTGATATGAAACAGCTGGGTGCAATCAGTGCTGTGTGCAATTAGTGAACCAGCTGTGTGCAATCAGTGCTGTGTGCAATCAGTGCAATGAATGATGGGATATGTAGTCCGGGATGATATGCAACAGAGTGTAGTGCGAGAGTCAATGAAAATGGAAAGGGTGACCTCTGATGGCTAGCAGACGGAAGTTCCTGGACTGGATTCGTGACAGTTACTTGCCATGAAAATAACCAAGGAAGCTGGCATGACATTAACACGCCAACCGACCGACAATCATTGGAAATACATGACTCTGGCTAAATTTCTGCCAAAGCAGAAATGCATTGCTCCAGATACAATTTACTAAATTTTCACATGCTATTGAAGTAATAAGTATTGTGCATGAAAATAAGTCTCTATTAATCAGTAATCTGCCCCTGTAATTGTAATTTGTGTGAAAAGGAACAAACATTGTTGGTGAGCCCCATGGAATTTAGATTCCCCCCCCCCCCTAATTTCTGTTTTTAATTTAGTTTTTCTGGATTCTGTGTTTTATGATTTAATACAAATCATCAAAAATAGTGTCTAATGAAATTAATTAATAAAACTTGCACACTTCCATCAGTCTTTAAAAATGTAATCAAATATAAATATAACAATTAAATGATAAAATACAATTTTTATTTGATGTCAAATAAGATGTTGCACAAGAGAACTGTATGAATTAAAACATGAATGGAAAAAATATTTTGGTTGTATGATATTCTTAAAAATAAGTACAGTATGTTATTAGTAGTACTTTGAGGAGTACATGTTTGTATACAATAGTGATATATTTCTGTCATAATTTCTTCAAGTTAAACCAGACTTTTATTTTGGCGGGTTTTCATGAAGATCTTTCAGTTTTAGTTTCAATTTCGCTTTGTATTTGATAGTAGTTTTTCTCACATTAAATGGTGAAAAGGTGAAGTTCATGTGTTCATGTCTTATTATTGAGACACAGACGCTGAAAACATTGCCTGTTTGATTTTGTATATCAGACGAAACAGCGTGCCATTCACAGAGACGCGTTAGCTTATTAGCCACATGCGCTGACTGACTGTTTTCACGCTTATTTCTGCTGTGCGATTGGGTGTTTGATCTTCATATATCTTTGACATTATTGTGTGTGTTTGTAAACGTACCAGTTGTTTTTTGAGACGTTAATATAAGATTCTCCTCCGTTAGGTGTTCTCCAGCTTTCCGTGAGCAGAAGTGTCTCTCGTTCTCCCGCTCCGTTCTGTGATGATGTCGCGATACCATCAGCGTTTTGAGCGGAATTTCCGCAGCGTGTGGGAGCGGAGGGAACACTGCGCCTCCAACAGCAGCTGCGGCGGCACCGTTAACGGCTGCATTTCCACCTCTGCCTCCTCCGTCCCCAACAGTGGCAACAACCGTCCCGGCCTCCTGCCCCTGCCCGTCATCCCCTCGCTGCTGCCCACCCCTGTCACCGGGGCAACCAGCACGGCCAACAGTGAGCTGACCTGCAAGCGATTAGCCTCCACCTGCACCACCTCAGCGAATAAGGTAGGACTGAACACACCGGCGCCCGCTCGCCCTCATGTCATTCCAAACTGGTATCACTTTCTTTCTTCTCTAAAACACAATTGAGAGATGTTCCCGCTTCTATGGTAGTCGATGGTAATTCACACTGCTAAAGTCCAAAAGGGATAAAACGACCCATGAAAGTGTTCATATGACTCATCCAGGTTTGATTCTGAAGCAAATGTGGTCAATTTTAATGTTGACTTTGAAGGAGTGTTATTGTGTAACACTGAGATACTATTAGATACTACTAGATACTTTTTATTATATTTCATTATTTTATGACTATAGATTGTGTTGAATTCGTTTTTATTTTATAGTTTTATTTATTTAATTTTTTTAATATATATATATATGAAGAGTTTGGTTCCAAAACAAAAAAAATTAGTTTCCGCCAAAATCAGTATTGTATCTGGTCGGTATTGAAAAGTCAATTTTGAATTTTACGCAAAATGCGATATCCGCCGAGTTATTCTGTCATGTTTTCTCCCTTTTTTTCCAAACCGCGACAAACTCCAGTCTCCCTTCTCTGTAGAATGCAATATATCTGCTCAACCAATCACAGTGCAAGATTCCATGCACTCGAGACAGTAATGGCGGCACTTTGAATACACCCGGCATTCTAGTTTTCCTCATCTATTTTGTACTTTGTGATCACTTTTCCAAACCGCGACAAACTCCAGTCTCCCTTCTCTGTAGAATGCAATATATCTGCTCAACCAATCACAGTGCAAGATTCCATGCACTCGAGACAGTAATGGCGGCACTTTGAATACACCCGGCATTCTAGTTTTCCTCATCTATTTTGTACTTTGTGATCACCAAACAAACTTAGGGCTGCACGATAAATCGCATGTGATTGTCATGCGCATCTCGTCAGTAAAGCCGGTTCTGTGATTAATAGTAAATCTCCATCACGTGCTTTCAGATGGAGCGGCATTTAATACACAGAGCCGTAGATCACTTCAATATCGCGTTCATAATCGCAGATGAATCACATTCGATTATGAACGCGATATTGCGTAGCTTGTCAGTGTAAGTGTTTTTATTAATGCCTTTTAATGTTTTTGTTAATACAGCATATAGCACGAGTATGAATGAATGTAACATGAAAGATGAATGCACTTTTGGAAGTTGAATGTAAGGGAAATGTCATTTTGGAATTTCTGGGGTT